CCATCACCTCCTTCACAGTGTTTTGCAAACTCTTAGCATTATACAATGTCCCTCTCCAGGAGCTAGCTGCTGTTTTTCAGGTCGGTACTGATGGGGATTTCCTCCTGTCCACCAGGTGAAGGGACCAGGGGTTGGCCTGCTCGGTTACTCCAAAGGAGCTGATCTGTCTCTCGCCATGGCTGCCTTTCTGAAGAACATCACAGCTGTTGCTTCCCTCAGTGGCGCTGTAGCCAATACAGTTATCCCTCTCTGCTACAAGGATAAAACCATCCCCCCTTTGCCCATCAATGAACAACAGCTCAAGGTCATTGATTCCAATATTCTTGATTGTTCTGACATGCTTTTTGACCCCTTCCAAGTCTCTGGCAACCGAAGCCTGATCCCACTAGAGAAAGCTGAGGCACAGCTAGTATTCATCACGGGCCAGGATGATCACATTATTGAATCTGAGTATTACGCTACTGAAGCCTGCAAGCTTTTGCAGGCTCAAGGGAAGGAAAATTTTCAGATTCTGTCTTACCCTGGAACAGGGCACTGCATTGACCCTCCCTTTTTCCCTCTGTACACCATAGGAAAGCACCCCGTTTTTCACAAGTGGGCAGTCCTGGGTGGGGAGCTCAGGGCTTATTCTAAAGCTCAGGCTCATGCTTGGCCACAGATCCAGGCTTTTTTCAACAAATACTTAAATGACAACTCATGTGCAAGAAAGACACAGCTTTAAATGACCTAACATGACTGATGCTTTCATACTGAGCAGGTCAAACCCTGTTCACAGGCTGTACCAGTTCAACTACAGTATCTCCCATGACTTTGCACATCCATAACTCAGACAAGAAATGGGTTTGCCTTTTCTGTTGTTCCCTGAACCTTTTTGCTCAAGTCTCTAGTAAAGCAAGGGCAAATAGGTTTGCATTAGCCCTTGATAAAATAGATCATCTGCAAAATGCGCACTTACCTTTTGCAGGTGGTTTCTATTCTTCCATTACTCGACGGTACTTTGCAAACCACTGTGGTCTCTACACGCATATGCTATCCACAGCTCATACATTAAAGCAACACCTCTCAAATGCTAATTTTGAAGCAGGGATTTCACTGCTCTTATGGTGAATGTCTCACCACAAATGGAAATGTCTCTGACCTCTGTGCTGCTGGAAGTATGTAAGAATGGATGCTATAGCCAGGATGCCGGGGTGTCTCTGGTTAACCGTTGGGAAATGTTGTTTGCCCTCTGTGCCTTCTTTCCATCTTCCGTCAGAAGGAAGTGCTCTGGCTCATGGCTACTTCTGGCCCCAAGATGTCATGCAAAAAGCCATTCTACTGAGCTTACAGCCATTGTGATCTTCTCCCACGTGATGTGGAAGTTTTTCAGCTTTGTTATTATGGTGAGAATCGTAATAAAGAGAGCCTGAGACTTGAAAGCCATGGAGTCATTTG